TGAACAACTTGTCCAACTCAAGTTAATGACCAAGCTGAGAAGAGAGTCCAACTCTCTAATGGTTCTCAATAATTTCCTCTCTAAACCAGACTCTCAAAATGCAAATACCTCTGGGAGAAAGGCAGGGACTGTAACCCATGGCAGAGTAAGTGGAGTAGGGTCATCTCTTAGACCTGATGCCTGGAGGTAAAGAAAATGGTAGCCCGGGTGTGTCAGGGATGGGGGGAGTTACACAGCATGGAGCAAAACAAAATCAGTTTGAGGGGACCTCCCCGCAAGGTATTGTGCAGTACGGCAGAGAGCAGGGTGTGATGCACAGAACAAAGATACCTGCATCACCCAGACAACTGGTTCTCCACAAGGAGGCTGTTTGTGTCTGGAAACGGACACGATGAAGGCCATGGGTGGTTTGCTCATCTGGCTTCAACCAATTCTATTAAATGAAATGTTTTGAATAACTACCCCCGTTCCAGTCAGGAGCCCTCCCTCTCTTCAACTCAGTATTTGTTGTATAATTATATTCCAGTGTAATATAAGACTCAAGTCAGGTTCATGTTTTTCTGCTTGTCTGTGGAAAGCAGGTGCTGGGTACCGGTGGAGGGTAGGTCCCAGGAGACACAGCCCAAAAGGGGATGTCTCCAAGGGAAACACCCTTCTAGACACCATAGCAATGAGCTTCTTCTTCCAGGTCAGAATTCAGGCCAGAGTGCTGGACCAAGGTCATCCCATCAGACCCCCACCGTGGCCCCTCAGCAACAAGCTCTGGGCGACGACATAGAAGGAAGAGGAGTGAACAGACAGCTGGTGCAAACAGCTCCTGGCTCTTCAGTGTGGTGAGTTAGCACTGAGTCAGGCATCTTTCCCACTGCTGCAAGGAAGAAAGATGGCTAACTGCAGAAGTCCCAAGTAAGTCACCTTGAGAGGCTGCTAGTGTGGCCCCAGGCCAGGGAGGGGACAGGGTCTGATACTGCAGTCCGGAACTTCACATTCCACCCACTTCTGCTTGGGTAACTCAGGCATTAAGAAGCTGCCATTAGACAAAGGTTTTGAACCCAAAGCCATTTCTGCCTTGCTGTGGGCTGTCTCCCCAGGAAACGTGCCCCGTGGAAGAGCAGCAGGCCCGAGATGGAGGTGCCAGGGTGACCTGGGGTTTTTGGTGCTATGGCCTGACCCTGATGTCAGGCACTGAGTACACAGCAGCTTTGCCTTCAGTAGGCCACAAAGCCTGGAATTTGGTGACTTAAAGTTCCTCCTCTCTATCTCTGAGACAGAGAGGGCTGCTCCATAGGGAGCCTGGAATGAGAGCAACTTCTTATAGAGGCTAGTGAACTGGGCCCATTTCTATGAGGATCAAAGTAGTTTAAATGCGTATATAGAAGAAGGTCTTGGAAAATTCACAGTGCACCATCAAATGTAGGACTTGTCACATTCCTAAAAGAACAAAGCACAGGACCCCAGGGACCTCACTTGCCTGCTAAACAAAGAGAACCAACTTTCCAGGTAGTAAACTTCAAGAAGCAAAATTTAGAACGCAGGTGCTTTTATAACAAAAGGATACACATCTCCCTCTAATTCTTTTATTGATCAAGTTCAAAATAAGTACAATTTTTTTTTCTCTAATACAACTTTGTTAACGTGATGAGTGAGGATTCAAAGGTTCACTCCCAGATTCACAAATCTTAGTGGTTATACATACAAATTGTTTTCAACTCAGAAGCATAAAATGAACCACTTAGCTGCAGTTTGCTGACCTGGTACTAAACCCACACTCAGGAGGTGGAGCCCAGGAATTTGCATTTTACTGGTTCCCCTGATGAGCTGGTAATATAGGTCATGCTCGGGCCTTGGTCAACTACAGAACTATACAACCTGCATTCTCTCCTGTCCACAGACTGCCTCGGGAGGTTGAGTCCTAAGTGATCCATCCACAGGGCTGGCTCTCTTTAAGGAACTGCAAGCAGGGTTAGGTGAGTGGCTTCAAACCGTGTTACTGGCATTGCTATTAGCTACATCTCAACACTAAGGACCTGCGTACTCGATCCAGAGATTTTGTTTTTTCTTTCTACAGAAAAGACTAATAAAAACAGTAAACACATTATATAAGATCCCAAATAACCGCTCGCTAAGAATGGCTCCTGCCTGTCTTCTCATTATCTGAGGTGTAATCTAAGAGGCCCGATACATCTCAAGTGTGTATTTAATATGCAAAACCAGGGTACAGCTCCCCCTTAAAATGCCTACCCACCCTGCTTGTCTATTCCACCTAAAGCTTCAGCGGGAAGCTATGCTTTGTTTCTGTGTCCTCAATATGAACAAACCCAAACCCACCCTCTTGCTAATAAGTGGCTCACTCCAAGGCTGGAGGAGAAAAAGCCCTACTCCGTGGTGCTTTACAAAAATACAAGCGGTAGTGTTTCAAAGCAGTACAGAGACCGAGTATAACAGAGTTAGAATCCCAGTTCTGCACTGACCAGTTCTGACCAGTGGTGATCTGGGGCTGACTCAATTTCCTTGCATTTAGTGTAAGAATAACAACAGTACTTAACATAGTGCCCTTGTGAGGATAAATTAACTGATGTCTGTGTAATCCACTTAGCAATACGCCAGACACGGTAAGGAGCCATGTGAGCATCTGCTATTATGGTTGCTGTTGTTATTTTAAACCTCCAAGAGGCCCTAAGTATTCCTTGCCACTCCCCAGTATCAGCGACTATACCAAGCACCTAAGGAAGGGCCAACTCAAGCCAATAGTCACTTATTGATAAAACAGAACTGTCCCGTCTTACAGGACACATGTACAAAACTTTGGAGGTAAACTAAGGTAACCTGTCCCAGACCACAGGTTGGCAGGATCCTACCTCCTTGTAGCCGGTGAACTCAAGCTCAGGTCTTTGTGGCTTCAGAACCAAGCCTCACCACGGAACCGTCAGATCCAAAACAAGCCTCAGCAGCTGCCAGTCACAAGATTCAACTGATCACCCCACACCGAGGCCACACTCAGCTCTCTGCCCCCAATCCCTGCTTGGCTTGCACAAATTGGAGCAAACCGCCTGGCCACTCACTTGAACCCAATTAGGCAGTAAGTCAACCTGGAAGAAAAAAAATGCAACGCATTCCAGAGGTCAAAGTAGACGCTGGCTCCGATGGCAGCCTTTGCCCGGCACTTCCGTGGAAGTTAGTCTCTGCGTGCAGACACCAGCCTAGGCATGCGAGGTGCGCCTACCACATGCTTTGAGTCCCACATCGGGGCCAGCATTGCGAACAAACTGCCTCAGTCTGAAGGCAACACAAAAAGACAGTTTACTTTTTTTTTTTTTAAAGGAAAATCCTATTTCTCTTTCGGTTTGGGGTAGCATTTACTATGTAGTTACCTACCTTCCCCGCCAAAACAAAAACGAGGGGGGAAAAAAAGTCGCGGGGTCGGGGATTGGATAAAGAGCGAGAGCTCTCCACGCCTGCAGGGTGCTGCGACACCCACCTGAAACTCCACCAACCTTTCTAGAGAGAGCCCAGCCCCGGAGGGCGTTTCCCCAGCGCATCCCGACAACTCGTCCCTCCCGGGTAGAAGGCTGACGCCCTCGGCATCAGTGAGGGCCACCAGACTAGAGAGCCTGAGCCCCTCCCGCCCTCTAGTTTCACCCCAACCCCCATACACCACCCTATCATTTCCGCTGAAGGCGCAAACACCAGCGCGATCGTTTCGCCTTCAAGGCCACCTTTCACTACGTGCCGAGCGCAGCAGGAGCCACGGCGGAAAACCGAACAGGGGGGCAGGGAGTTGGGGCGGGGGAGGCGGCGCTCGATAAGGTAGACCGTCACCTTTGCGGGGCTACGACAGCTTCGGGATCCTTGGACCCCGGGTGGGAGCCCCTATATGGCCGAATGCGAAAATGGGGTGGGGGTGTCCCAGGGGCCAGCTCCCCCAGCAGCCACCTCGCTAGAGGGCGGCCGTCGGGGCGATGGCGCAAGCTTCTCACCACCCCCATGCGCGACAACAGCCACGGTGACAAAATGGCAGCTCGGCGCCCGACTGACGAGCCACCGGCACGCAGCCGGGGACTGCCTCCCCTGCGCCCCGCAAATGCCAGGGCACCCTGGGGCTAGGTCTCCCAATGGCCTAGCAGCAGTGCAAATGGCGAGAGCAGACGGGCCCGCAGATCCTAGGAGGTCGAGGGTCCCCGGCCCGCCGCGCCCTCTCTAGACCGGATCTCCAGGACCGCGCCGCCGAGCTTCGGCTGTGCCTGTGCGCGCCCGGGCCCCCACCGCTGGGCGCCACGGTCCCCGCGGAGCCCGGTCCGCGGCCGCCGTGGGGGAGGGGTGGGCCTCCGGCGCCCCGGGAAACATGGCTGCTCGTCTTAGTACGGCGGCGTCGCGGCCACCAGTCCCCGAGATGCGACTTGGGAGAAAGGTTGCAGAAGGTGGGTGCGTGGAAGGGGACTCAGAGGAGGGTGGTTCCCCGGAACGACAGTTTTCCAAAAACGTTTATTTGAAAACAACAAAAAACCCAGCAAAACAACAACAAAAAGCCAGTTCCTCCTCCCCCACCCCTTTTGTCCCTCTTTCGAGAGCTTGCTGCCCTCCCCTCCCCCATGCGCAGCAAGTGCCCCCTCCCCCGCCACCCGCGCGCCCCACCCCGCCATAAGCCCGGAGGCCGGCGAGTGGGCAGCAGACTCACGGCGAGGGGGCGAAGCGTGAGAAATCGCGCCCAGCCCAGAGCGCCCGCCCCTCCCCCAGCGCACACACTCGGGGAAGTTTAAAGAGCCGGTTCGACCCGCTTTCCGTTTCGCTCCGGGTCAGCTAGGACTGTGGACCGCTCGGTCGGGTACGGCGCTGCTGCGCACCTACTCGCCGCGACCCCGAAGCCCCCCAACTACGTACACAGGGGTCTTCCCGGAAAAGTACGCGGGAAGTCGCGTTCGGCCCCCTCCCCCAGCACCACACCCAGTCCCCTCCACCCCCGGGATCCGGCACCCTGGCTGGGTCGGGACCCCACCGGCCGAACCAGGCAGCCCCGCGGCAAGTCCTTCTGCTAGGGGTGCTCCCTCCTCCCGCCCTGCGCGCCATAAGGCTGTAGCACGTCTCCAGGACACAGCTGCGTGAGGATGGGCGGACGGCAGAAAGGAGCTTGTTTTCAAAAGTCTTACTCGGGTTTAGAAGGAGGAATTAGGAGAAAAGAGGAAACTAGGCCTGCCTTTGTCAGGATTCGAGGGGCCAAGTGGCTGGAGGGGCGACAGGTCAGCACAACGTGCTGCGCGAGCCCCCCAACTCGCCCGAGCCTCAGACCCTCAGGCTAGACTCATGATCTTCCCGCCCGCGAGCCCCTGCTCCCCCACGACCGGGCCTAAATGGGAAGTTAGCTAAGGGTTTTCCATCCCAGACCCTAGGGTCTCTCGAATGGGTCAACTTGCAGGCGACACGAGTGTGTGAAAGCGAGAGGGAGACAAAAATAAACAGTAGCTTTCGAGTCACTTCCCCTTGCAGCGGGCTCACGCCTAGCCTCCCTGTTCCCACCGGTGTGTAAGTTTCCTCCTGCCACACTCCCCGCCGCTGCCCAATCCATAACGGCTACGACCAGACGAACTGCCCATCCCAGAGCTGCGTGCCAGCCGTGCCCGCAAGAATGTAGCCTGGGTCGGTCCCCACAGCGGCACTAGCTCTGGGCAGCTCGGGTTCTGATAAAGTTTCTCGTGCTCATTTATTAACCAAGCGCCGAATGGCTGCCAGGGAGCCCACCCCAGGAGAAGCGGGGACCAGAAAGGTGGAGTGTCTGCTGCCGATGAGACGTCAGGGTGCCAAGGCTGGCATCTGGGGAGGGAGCCGGGGGCCAGAACGGGACGCAGCCTGCGGGCAACTTACATTAGCGACGCTCGTGGTTGGGGAGGCGCGAGGATTATCTGAGTATTTGCACACTCTACAATCCCTCCTCCTTTCTCTAAGGTAACCTCCCCCCCCCTTTCCGCGAGGAAGAAGGGAGAAAAGACAGCATCTGGCCCAAAGGTGGGGTGGAAAGAGTGAGAGAGAAAGGAGAAGGAAGGCAGGCAGAGAAAGGGAGGGAGGGAGAGAAAGGGCGCGTTCACGAACGACAAAGTTACAAATATGGCTCCCCACCTCTCGCCTCATCCCCGCAGAGAAACGAAGACGCGCTTTAAACTCGAGCCATCTCCCAACTCCGCAGCAGTAGGGTCCCCACGCGCTCTCCCCGGGGGCCTCGGGCTACATTGATCAGAAACTATACCGGACTCGCGAAGCCCCAAAACTTATTGTGTGCGAGCGAGCGAGCGAAAGAGACGGCAAAGGGAGGGGGCAGGTGCGGGAGGGGGCGGAAAGGGGGTTACGCTTCTAAAATATAACACCCCCTTTTTGTTGTTTAATCCAGGAGGCAGCCCATCTTCTCCTCCCCTCGATCATCTTTTCCATCCAGATGCGAGTCGTGGGAGCTGAGAGCTCGGACGAGGGTGAGATCGCCGCCTTCCCTCCGACCCGAACGCGTGCGCCCCGCCGGCCCCCCGCTGGGTGCACACTCGCACGCACACCCTCGCACCCGTACCCGCACACGCGGGAGCACACGCACAGGTAGTCAGTCACACACCAAGGGCAGCAGCGACGGCGGACGAAACATGCTCCGATGGCATTGCAACCCCCCCTCCGCCATCCAACCTTGCAATTCATTTGCAGTCAGACCCCAACCCCCCCCCCCCCCGGAGCCTCCGGTCCATGAAAAAGTGCCTTCCCCCCAAAACACACACGCACACATAACACAAAGTAGGAGAATGGACCGACAGAGATATTTTTGGCAAATGCTCACATCAGAGGGCGTCCTGTTCCGCAGCTCTAAATAAATCCGTTTGTCCATCTCCATCTCTCGCGCTCTCTCTTTCTGCAGAGGATCCTGCGCCAGCGGAATTCAATCAATAAACCCCGAACCCACGGCCGCGCGTTTTAGGACTTTGAAGGCTCAACCAGCTCCGCTCGGTTCTCGAGCCCCCAGCACCCGCGGCGCACACAAACCTGATCGGCGTAGAGGCGGGACCTGCGGCTCCTGCGTGGAGCGGCGGCACCAAGAGCCAATCGAGTGGCGAGACTTCGGACGCCAGCCAATGGGGGTGGTGGCGGCGGGGGGCAGGGTCCAATGGGCGGCCTGCGCAGCGGGCCAGGGAGGCTCAGCCATTTGGCTGTGGTGCCGGAGACGGACCCCTTTAGATACCCAGGCCGCCGAAGAGGAGCGAGGCTGCACCTGGTGGTTGCGCGCGGGGGGCGGGAGGGAAGGCAGGGCAGGTGCGTGGACTTGAAGGTTCGTGGCCCGGGGCGGGGCCGCAGGTGCGTGGACACGGGAGGGGCGGGGTCCTTGCGGGGGCATCCTCTGGGTGCTGGGCGGGCGGACGAGGCCTGGGGCGCGCGGGCACAAGGCAGGCCCAAGGAGGGCGCGCGTTCTTGAGGCGCACGAAGGACAAATCCCATCACACACACACCCCGGAGTGCCCACCTTGGCACAACCCCTCAGACCGGGTCTACTCCGAGCATCCCCGCAATTAAATAATCAAGTCTTAAGTGCATGACGCTCCTCCACCTCCGGAGGACGAGGGCGCGATCGCGACCCCAGAGGCTCGGCATTCTGATGTCCTGCCTTTAAAAGAAGCAATTCCCCGAGAGCCACCGGGGGGGGTCTTGTGTAGGGCAATTAATAAATGGAAAGGCCACAGATGCAGAACTGTATAAAATATTAAAAAGTGGAAAAGGAAGGTGCTGGGAACTACCGATTCTCAGAGCCGCACAATTGACGGTCTTATAGGGTTTGTTTTTTGTCTGTTTGTTTTGGTTTTTTTTTTCGGTTGTTTGTTTTTTTGAGACAGCGCGTTGCACGTTTCATTCTAATCGCCCACCCGAGTCATTTGGTTGGTCTGAGTTGCCAAAGAACCGCTAGCTGGGGCACTTACTCCAGGTCTTCCAGTTGCTTTGGGTTTTGTTTTTGTTCGACCACGTTACGTTTTTAAAGAAACCTTTACAGCCCTGGTTCCCACTGGGTTACCAGCTTCCTATGGGCAGCCCTAGCACTTTTGTACTATGTGGATGTCTGTGGCTGCGGACAAATCACGGGATACAAGTTTAATTTCATCCACACAGCTATATCATAGTGTCTTTTTCTCTTCATCTACACTTCCGCAAACACCCCAAAAGTAATTCTATCTTTTTTGGATACATTAGAACTGAGGATTTTATTCAGTTAGTTCTTTTAGATCAAACAATAAATGGATTTGAAAGCTGATAAATGTTTATCCTAAGTAGCTGGAAGTACAAAATAAAAACATGTCATCTGGGTAAATATGTAATTTCTTTAAGTTGTTCATTTAACTTTTCTTATCCTTAGGTTTTCGTTAATTTTTACAAAGGCTGTGTAAGTGTCAGTTCATGTTTCTGGATACGATAACGTTTTTAAAGCAATAATAGCTTTTCATCACAAATATTTTAAAAGAGTGTAGTGTACAAAATCTATAGAGCAGGAGTCTTGAAGTTAATGTTTTTTTGGATGGTAAATGTTCGTTAGTTTCTTAAACACTGAAGCATAGTTGAAGTCCGGGCTATCAGCAATGTTGTGAGAGAGTCCTTTCCAAGGAATAACTCTCAAATCCGCTGAAGCAAGGTGTCCATTGTACTACCTCTGATAAGTAGAAGCCAATAGCTCAAGTGACAGGGAGAGAAGAAAATTACTTGGGATCCCAACACACACCTCCCCTTAACAAAGAATAGACAGAAACAAAATTATGAAGAGGCAGAAGTTTCATATGAAGAGAAATCAGTGTACTAGAGACTAATTAGAACAGGGAAAAAAGCCCAACAGTGACCTAATCACTGACATTATTAGATATAATTTGTTTTTAGAGCATCTTCCTTTTACAAATTTTGAATAACAGCTTTTGCATTTAGTGTCACAGAACTGAAAGATGGCTTTCAATGGATAGATGTCTGGCAGTATAGAAGCTGAGCTATAAAAGCACTGAGAGTATTGCCCAATTGTTAGGACACATTGAAGGAAGACAATTCCTCTTTTTTTTTGTTTTTGTTTTTTGAGACAGGGTTTCTCTGTGTAGTCCTAGCTGTCATGAAACTCACTCTGTAGACCAGGCTGGCCTTGAACTCAGAAATCTGCCTGCCTCTGCCTCCCAAGTGCTGGGATTAAAGGCGTGCACGACCACTGCCCAGCAGAAAATTCCTCTTGTAGTTATCTAAGAAAGTTTTAATAGGACTTTGATGGTTTTATTAGCAAACAGGAAGACATCTCAGTCATTTGCACTATAAGACTTGGAGATTATATATGTGTGTGTGTGTGTGTGTATGCATGTGAATATTATTTACAGGGTTATTATATTTTTATTGTGTATTTTAGTAGTAGGCACTGCTCCCAGTTCATCTGTATTTTAGGAAAGGAATAAGAGAAGCCCTACCTCTCTTGGAAGAATTTTTATATGGACCTGAAACTGGTGCAGTTCCTCATTACAGACGGAACCTACAACATGCTTTAGGTGATGAGGAATAAGCAGTCTGCAGCAGGGTTTGATTCCCTCTGGGAATTAATGAGATGCAAATCAAGTTTTGAGCCACCGCTGAAAAGGGTGGGTTTCAAGTAAGAAGATCACCTCCAAGGGCTACCAAGAACCATCCCAAACTAATGAGCAGCCTGTTCTCTCTCAAAGATAAGAGCAATGGGTGTCCTTAGCCTCCGTGTGTCTGGAAGTTTTGGTTGGTTGGTTTGTTTGTTTGTTTGTTTGTTTGTTTTTGCATGTCCTTTTTTTGGTTTGGGGTTTTTTTGTTTTTTTGGATTTTTTGGTTTTTTCAAGACAGGGTTTCTCTGTGTAGTCCTGGCTGTCCTGGAACTCACTCTGTAGACCAGGCTGGGCTCGAACTCAGAAATCTGCCTGCCTCTGCCTCCCAAGTGCTGAGATTAAAGGCGTGCGCCACCGCGGCCGCCACCACCACCACCACCTGCTGTTTGTTTGTTTTTAATGTGTATTGTATGTGTGTACACATAAGTGCAGTTGTCTTAGGAGGCTAGACGAGAAGGTTGGGTCCCTCTGGAGCTGGAGTTCCAGATTGTGAACGGATGGACATATCGGTGCTGGGACGGGCACCCTTGTCCCCTCCAAGAGCAACAAGTGCTCCTAACTGCTGAGCCATCTCAACCATGTCCGACATGTCGAGAAGTCCTGTTTTAGAAATACCCACACTGTTGCTGTTTTAGCTGGGGCGGGGGGTGGGGGGAGGGAGGGGTCCTTTGTTCAGTCTCTGAAGTTGGTGACCCTTTGGTTTTTATTACTCAAGCTAATGTATGCACAGTTTAACTTTTCTTCTTCAGCTTGAAGCATCTAGACTGGAACCTCGCCATAACCCTCTTCCGCTTACACTAGAGCTTGGCTGCCTGGATCCCAAAGACAATGACATGGAAAGGCTCCAGAATGCCTGTGTGTTCTTCTGTCCTTACATATAAATAGCTCTTAGAAATGTAGATTATTCTTTTGAAACCCATGGTAACAATGTGAGGATGTCTGCATTTTGATTTGAATAGCAAAGGAATGTTGAAGTCCAAAATCTAAAGTTACTCAGTAGTTTTCTATTGCTTAATGAAACATTGGATTTTTTTTTTAAGTATATATTACATTTATGTTTGTATGTTGCTGGGGGCGTGTGCTAACTCACATGTCTGAAGACCAAAGAACAACTTTCAGGAGTCAGTCCTCCTACCTTGTGGGGCCCAGAGATTGAAATCGGGTCATCAATCTTGGCACCCTTGAGCCATCTGGCTAGCCTGGGTAAGGTTGTTTTTTTTTTAATGCTTTAATGATTGAATAGTTATCTTGTTAATGAGTTGGTCATGGAGAAAAAAATACTAGCCAAAAATAGTTATTACAGGTCAGTTTAAAAAATAACATGGTGACTCCTGCCTGTAGTAACAATGGGTTTGAGGCAGCCTGGGCTATTGGTAACACTATCAATAAGCCAGGCATGATAGCCTATGCCTGTTGTCCAGCATGGAGGTAGGAGCAGACTGGGCTACCTAAGACCCTATATTAAAAGTTAAGTAGGGCTGGAGAAATGGCTCAGCAATTAAGAACTCTGGCTGCTCTTCCAGGGGCTTGGGTTCAGTTCCCAACATGGCAGTTACAACTGTCTAGAGCTCCAGTTCCAGGGGATCTGGTGCCTACTGGCCTCCAAGGGCATCAGGAACACACGTGGTACACAAACATCCATGTAAAACACCCATACATATAAAATTTTAAGAATAAAGTATGGCTATAAAAAAAAAAGGAGATGTGGCTCAACAGCTTAGAGCAACTGCTGTACTTGTCTATAGAACCTGAGTTAAGTTGCCAGCACCTACATGGTGGCTCACAACCATCTGTAACTCCAGTTACAGGGGATTTGATAACCTGTCCTCACTTCTGTGGGTATCAGGCACTTTGGTGCACATACATACATGCAGACAAAACACCTATATGAAGAAATCTTAGAAAGAAAGTGGGCAAAGTGATGCATACCTTACAGTCTCAGGTATGCATCAAGAGGTATGATCAAGAGGGTCAGAAGTTCAGGGCTATCCTTTGCTCCCTAGTGAGTTTGAGGCTAGCCTGGGCTACATGAAGCATTCAAGAAAACAACAGCAAAAAGACTATGGAGGGACTGGAGAGCTAGCTAAGTAATTAAGAGCATTTATTGCTCTTATAAAGGACTGGGTTCCGTCCCTAGCACCCACGCGGTGACTCGCAACCATCTAATTCCTAGACACAGTATCTATTCATATGTGTAAAATAAATATGAAAAAAGACAATGGAATATGAAATCAATTAACAGTGTAACTAAAGGCAATTAAGATGATGCAGAAAAATTGGCCTTTAATCTCACTTGGGAGACATGAGGATCTCTCAGGCCAGCCTGGTCTACAAAGTGAGTTCCAGTACAGCCAGGGCTATTACACAGAGAAACACTGTCATGAGAAACCAAAAAGAATATAGTAATATCAACTAATTTTGAGTTATTAATTTATTTTTAATCAATATGGAGTTGAAGCTCACCTCTTCAGAAAAAAATGTTAAAATACAGTAAGAGACAGGTGTGGTGGTGCACACCTTTGAATCCCAACACTGAAGAGGCGGATTTCTGAGTTTGAGGCTGGCCTGGTCTACAGAGTGAGTTCCAGATCTTCTCTCAATAATAAAATGAAATATAGTAATTTGGGGATCCAAATAAAACTTTAGAAGAGCTTTTAGCACATTTCTATTTGCAAGTGCTCTTCATTACCCTCCACTGTGTATCCGCCCCTCGGGTTCTCTGCTTTCTAATAGCAGCAAGCATTTGAACTGAACAAATATTCAAAGATGTACACTGCACTATTCTCCTGGAGTCAGAAGTCTGCTGAATGCACTTGGATAAATTAATAAACGTGTACTATATTTTCATTTGAAATGTTG